ATTAGTTTTCATATTTTTTCGGTGCTGCGGTTCACCTGTTGAAAACCACTGGTATAAGATGATGTGAAGGTTAAGCCAGAAAATAAACAGTGAAATTGTTAATGCTGGACAAGAAAGATTTACTCACTGTAGCAGTAAAACATTCCTGAATCTAGTTATTGTATTTGCATTTGCTGACTATTGAATGTGTATTTCAGTTTCTATTGTTAAAAATTAGTGAAAACATGCTGCAATTCACAGCAATACAGGATCCACAAAATGCAATTGATTTATATGTTTATTGAAAAAATAGCCAGATATATTTTGTTCTTCATTTTTATTTTACAGTTCAATACCCTTAACAATGCATTGGCACGTTGCCCTCATTGTAGAAAAGTGTAAGTACATGTGTACTTTTTGTTTTTTTCACAAGACATGTAAAACCTTGTATAGATGTAAAATACAGAATAATGTTAATATTTTGAACAAACAAAATAAATCACATTTACTAATTCAGATTTATTATTTATTTCAATAAGCAAAAAATGTTTCACTTTCTACAAATGCTTTGGATTGATTACTGTTGTCTAACTTCTAAATGTGTATTGAAAAGATAATTAAGGTGTGCAAATGTTTTAAGATAATAAGACGTTAAAGAAATTGTATTGTAGTTCTCCTTTAAGGTTTTAATTATGATTAATGCATCATATATTTTTTCTTTAGTTCAACTGCTGGCTCCGAATTTGCTCGTCGACGAGGCTTTATCTGTTTACTGTTAGCAATGATGTTTTTGGTTATTTCTCTAGGAGTAACGGTGAGAAGCTGAATATTTGTTTTAATATATTTAATATTTTATCAACATTTTCACAAGAACAAGAAATTATATTTAATAAGTAATCACTTGGATGAATGTAACTGTGTATGAAAAAACATTTGAATACTAATTTCTATTATAGGATTTGTTGTTAATCTGAATAAAACATTACTACGTTTTGAAAAGAAGCCATGTTAACCATGGTAAAATATGAAAATATCCAAAGTTTTATGAAAAACAAACAGAATTATTCAAGGTTATTTACTACTGAAGTGCTCTAAATCAGGATATAGAGAATGTTTAACATTTTTGTATACAGTTAACACTAGCTACATTGTACAAAATTAATTTATTGATTTTATGCATTTCCATTAACTCAGGTTTATCTTGCAAATTTTTAACTTGTATTTCAGTAGAATGTCACCTATAAAAATTGTGACCTTCATATATGGTTAAAAGTGTGGTGCTAAGATGTGCCTTTTCATTATTGGTAGTTTTTATTTATAATAAAGTTTGAATTAAGCAAAATCAAGGTCCACACTTAAATTTACTAGTTTATGTATCAGAGGGTGGGAAAAATTAGGTACAAAAATAAATCACCTTATTGTTACACAAATACAGGAATATTAGGTAAAAAATATTTATATATCAATTTAATTATTTGAATTTAGGTCCAATGATGATATATGACCTTGCCTTCAAATCAGATAGAGTTAGTATTATTCATATTGACAAATGGATACTAAGGTAGCAATGAGACTAAGAATGCTGTAATAGGATCTTTATTCTCTCAATGTTTTCACTACAAGTTTTCTTCAGAAGAGTGTGACACCGTAGTGCCTTACAAGGGTATATATACAAATTTTCCCAGATTAGGTTCCTGGTCACTGCGTCTGCCTCTCCCTGATTGGTTCATTAGGAAGCAGGACACCTGCCTAAATGGAAGGAAACTAACATTGTCAGCAAAGGGGTGGAAAAGCAACAAAGAAAAGCTATAGAAGCTGCTTACATCTTATTAGAAAATAACATAATAAACACCACAGTGGGATACTACAAGTGAGCAGAAACAGCAGTGAGACTAGTGAGATGAGAGCAGGATGCTGATGGAGGTTGACAGATGATGATATAAATCAGTCAGGGAGTGACACAGTGTGGCGACCAGGAACCTAATCTGGGAAAATTTGTATATATACCCTTGTAAGGCACTACGGTGTCACACTCTCCTGAAGAGGATTTGTTGTTGAAACATTGAGAGAATAGAGATCCTGTTATAGCATTCTTAGTCTCATTGTTACCTTAGTATCCAGATAGACTTATATCAGAAATACTGTAAATCTTTTCTAGTTGAGATGTTTTCTCTGTACCAACAACTTCATGAATTTTGGTTCTGAATGTCCTTTACGAAATTAATTACATGCATCAACTACCCAAAGATTTTCATTCTTCCACTTGCCACGTGACTTACTGTGCAAACACCAGGGAAACTAAATAAACTTAGCTTTCGTGCCACAAGTCAGATTTTTCTTATTGACAGTCATGCTGTAAACTCCCATGCTTCAGGTTACTCTGTTCATGAATTTCAAAGTCAAGATAGAGAATTCTATAACTCATTCAAATTTTTTGGAAGACTCACTCACACAATCTTCTGCTAATATGCAGGTTGATCCTCTGGCTGCATGGATCAGCGTATTAGAGCTGTTAATCTCAAACTGTCTGTTTGTGACCCTGTTAGGTTTCCCAGTTGTGTGAACTATCGTAGTGCAAGAAATCTACCTTCCTCTTACATTGCTGAACAAACCTGAGGAGCAGGATTTGTTTTACTAGTCCTAATCCTGAAGAAGCTTCTACCTAAAAGTATTAGTGTTGTGTTACATAATTCAATTCTTGAATCCTTGTATCTTCTGTACCTTTTCCTGATATTTTATTTACTGTTTATACTTCAGAAATCAGCAGAATGTTAAATTTCTATGTTCCTTACATTTGTCACACATGTGGCTTTAGTGAGATCATCTTCTACTTCACATCTTTCTTTACAAACTATATACCACCAATCAATTTTTGGGGGGGCGGCCTTTTTCCATGTATTCCTGTCAGCTTTCTTCCCTTCATCCTATGATTTGATCATTTTGAGACCCTTTTATCTTACCACCTGGATCCTGTGTACCTTTGACACTAGCACACTGTGTCGTGCTGTGGGATATTTATCTCTCTTTAATATCTCAACAGTTCTCGAAAGGACTTCCTTTTTGTATCATTCTGTTTTTGCAGTATTTCATCCAAACTAGGTTCATGTTAAAGAGAGGTGCATCAGAAGGAGCTTGTTAAGGTTCTGATGACTTGTATTTTTTTCTTTTTGTTGTACCTATTTGAGACATCTGGCAGGCTATAGTCACTACACTGACTTGCATTCTTTTTCTGCTATCATTTTTCTACATCCAGTGCATAGTTGAGTTGCTTAGCATAGAAGCAAACAGGGTGGTTATACTGAAACTACTCATTAGGCATTTCATGCGTATCCTCCATTCGGATGACTGAGGGAAGAGGTCATCTAGATTCACTTGTTCATGTGTGGAACCCTTGATTTTGGGATCTTTGAGGTCTAAAGATTCTTTAGCTTAAACTTTTCCTTCAATAAGTTATCTCACGATTTTCTACATTTTTGACTTTTAGGGGGTAGTTTATCAGTTCACTGCCCTTTTGTTTGAACAGGCTTTGGCTTCATATGTTTCTGTTGATAAATTAAAGCCTTAGTTGGTCATCCCCATTCACTCAACATTGACTTCTGCTTTTATATGAATGAATTTTATATGATTGGATTCTTATTGCTCTGTTGTTTGTTAAATCTTTAGAACATAGTTTACCACTCAGTTTGCTATGTGTCTCAGTTAATACTATCTCACTATTTGGTCCATCTGTGGTTTTGGAATAGCACATTTCAAGGGACTCTTCATCCATCTTCAATGGCTCTTCAAGCCTTGAATTTCATTTGTGCAAAGTTCTGCCAAATATATCCTTTCTGCTTTGAGAATGAAGGATCCATTTCACTTTGTTATTCCCTTGGAACATGCTCACACATGTTACCCCCAATGAGATCTTGCTTCCCAGTGGCATTTGACTACAGATTATCTTAACATCTTTATCTTTGAGCATGTCACATTCCAAGTGTGATGAGCATTTTGGCAGATTCTCTTCCCAAGATCATTGGCTTCCATGCAGAGAGTAGACTGCTCATTTTTGTTTGTCAATGGTAATGCAAATAGATGGGTTGTCCATTGGTTGATACATTTTCAATGGTGGACATCCATCTTTTTCCTCTCTACTAGTGTCCAGTCCTAGTTCTAGCTTTATACTTGCACTTCTCTCTGCCTTCCTCTACTGGTATTTACTAAGATCAGTTCCACAAAGAGTCAGGTTCTCCTCATTTCTAATTTCTACTTTTAGTTACTTTATAATAATAAATAAAGAATACACATGAAAAACAAGAGATATAATGTTTTCCTGTGACTTCTTTCTTTCTTTGTCTTTTTCTTCTTTGTTTTTTTCTGTAGACTGTCAATGAAAATTAAACCTACGTTTTGTACTAATGGTACTACTACACTAAATATTTCTTTATTTAATTAAACACTATGTGCCATGAGCCTTTAAAAATTCAGATTGATGTGATTCCCATGAGAGTAAATTTAAAACTGAGTGATGAATTAGACAATGCTCTGTACTGAAAGTAATGTTATATACATCATTTGTTAGATTAGACTTTGCTTTCTATTGGTTGTAAATAATATAGTATAAAATGTCAGAGAAAAATGTTGGCAGTTTGTGAAAGAGAGTATGTGACAAGTAGGTGTGACGTGTGGATCTGATGTTCTAATTTATGGCTCCGTAAAAAATTAGATGGAAGGCTTTAGATGGAAAGATTATGCTTTGCCTGAATAATATCTATATTATAATGAGTAACTTATGTTAAGTTCCATAGTTCTTTGGGGGGTGGGGGGTAAATAAATTTGAAAAGAAGACCTTGAGAGCAAATATCACAATTGTCATACTAGGGAAAATTGGGGATTTTTAAAATTCAGTTTAATTAAAACTTGAATGTGACTGCAAAAGGATTAATCATTAAGATTATTTTTACTTCTTAGTAATCCATAGACCAAATTTCATTGATTGTGTAACATTAGAATAGAATGTGATGCTGTTAAATAATATTTTGTACTGGATATATGAACAGTATGAAAATAGATATTCATATTGTATGTGTTTGTTTCTTATAGGTTGGGACTTATAAAATAGCTCAAAGGTCTGGAGGAATGTATGTTTTATATGTTGGTAAGGCTTTTTTTTTAATAGGAATATATATGTATATACATTTCCAAATTCTATTTGAAATTAAAAATTCCGAGTTAAATTATTAAATGGTATGAAGAAAATTATAGTTGTTAAAATAAAAGTTTTATACTACTATTTAATTAATTATCCTTTGCTGTGTAATACTGTTGATGTTGAATCATGCACACTTTGTGCTTAGTAAAGAGGAGAACACTTCCTTGAGGTATACCCCAGACCCACCAAGAAAAAAAGACCTCTGTCCATATTTACTTATGTTTTTTACTTTACAGTAATGTTTCTTACAAGAAATTTCATTCAACACCAACAGGGAATGACCCAGGACAGTAGGTAATTAGGTCAAAAGTAATCTATCTACATTCCATGACCAATATTCTGCTAATAAAACATACAATAAACCAAAGAAGATGGAAAACACTAAATATGCTTTTCATATCATATATTTGCCACTTTTGAAAGCTTATAGCTTTTTATATGTACATTTTTCAAAATTTTGTTGGATGTATAAAAATTTTAATTGACATCCAGAGCAAAACACATTGTCTAAATTTTTCCAACAGCTTATAGCTGGATATTGAAAAGTGCAGTTAAGTAGAGTATCAGATTTGGCTTCCACATTGGTTTATAAAAAAAGGGAGCTGTCGTGAAAGTTTGAAAACTCTCTCTTTCATTGTCAGTATTTAAGTTTCTGAACTTAACAAATGCACTTGTATATGTTTTACTATTGTTCATGTAATCCAGTGCTGTTTCTCTTGTTTCTTGAAGTTCTATCTATACAGTACTTCTGCTGTACAACTAACTAAACAGTTCTGTTTATACTTTCTTTTTCATTGAAAGAATCTTTTTGTTTTCCATTTATAATATACAAAATAGGTGATCTCGGGTATTTTTATTTATTTATTCTTTGACAAAGCTTACAATTTGCAATTAGAAGGACATGGCCATAGTGGTTATTACGCCAAACTGTGAATTTGGGGGTCATTGTTCACGTCTCGTTACCAAATAATTCATGCTCCATAGTAGATCTGAACAATTTTAATCAATAGAAGGACATGGCCTAGTGGTTATTGTGCCAAACTGTGAATTTGGGGGTCATTGTTCACATCTCGTTGCCAAATAATTCATGCTCCATAGTAGTTCTGAACAATTTTAATCAATTACCTACAAGCAGCAATTCCATTGATTAGTGTTACATAAATTAATCAGTTAGTCAAAAAGTAAATTGATTAACTGAATGTGCATAGGGCCAATCCAATTGACCAATCAGGCATTAGAAAAGTAATGTTCACTATAATTCTAAATTTACTATGTGTATCTACATGAAATATGGCAAGCTTTTAATAAAGTGTACAAGTCCATTGTACAAAAATGTCAAATGTGTTAAAAAATTACTTGTACTCAAATATGTGTGTGGATTGACTTTATCAGTCTGATTCAGACTCTGACCAGTTGAAGTGCAAAAATAAAAATACTTTTGTGTATCATATAGTTTACATAACCTCTGAAATACCTATTGACAGTTTTTTAGTATCCCAGTATATCTCATATTTACTCTCCTCTACCACAATCTGTTACTAAATCAGCAGTGTAGATTAAAATAAATAGTTAGTACCTCTGACATCAAATACATACCATGTTGAATGGAACTCTGGAAGAGGTCATGATATTAGGTTTAATCAAAATTGGTATTTTCAATTATGACAGCTGGCAACTGCTGCCAACTATTTTTTTCATTGTGAACTGCTGACTAGGGGGAAGGAAATAGACTGATATCACCTACTGGTAACTTTTTTTGGGGGGGCACTATTATCTAGAGGGAAGGCAATCAGTTGGCAGCACGTTCCATGAATTATTTTTTTGCTTTCATATGTTATAGTTTGAGGGAAAGATGTACTAATCAGTTAATCAAATGTGGTTGATTAGTGGGGCTTTTTGGTTAATTGATTAGTAAATACCACTAACTCCCAGCTCACCTTCATGCTGTGGTACCACAACCATGTTATTAACATGATGGTCAAGTCCCACTATTCAATTATAGTAGCTTAAGAATTGGTGGTGGGTACTGTTGACTAGCTACCTTCCCTCCAGTTTATCAGTTCAAAAGAAGGGATGGTTTGTTCAGTTAGCCCTTTTGTAGCAGGTTAGCACAAATATTCAAAACGAACAAACAAGCATGTAAAAATGTTTCATTCATACATTGTATTAATTTCTTTTCATTCAAGTATCTCGGAGAGTGATGTATCACAGAAACATTTTTCTTATCTTTTAGCTCTGCTTTATACATGACATACACATGATCACAGTGTAGTGCTTCAACACACCACTTCAAAAGTAACATGCAACATAACTCAAATTTTAATGAAGCATTGTAAAAAAAAAATTATTTCCAGAATTTATGAGAATAAATACTTATATTAATAATCTAGTCTAAAGCTTGAGCATTTATGCAAAATTTGTAGTTACTGTATATGCTTTGCATACAGTCAGCAGAAATAATAGCTAGACATAACACCCAACCAAAAGACACAAGGAAAATACTTGCTATTGTGTGTTGGTAATTATTTTGCAGGCCAAAGAATATGATTTACATACACTGAAGATGTACATCTCAAGATTGCTTGCTAATTTTCCATAGTAACTAAGTTAGTTTGCATGTAACAATGAAAATATGTACTTTCTGTAAGGATGTGACAATTTGATATCAATTGTTTTCATGGTTAATAGCTTATACACTTACCTAACTCTAGTTGTTTATAATTTGTAGAATAAAACATAATAAAAAGAAACCCACAACACTGCAACTCTTCTTGACAATGATACTCTGTACACTTGATAAGGAATATGATAAAGAAGACAAATACCAAGAATAAGCAGGAAAGAAATTAAAGATTAGCAGACATTAGCATTATGCAAACAGCATAAAGTCATAAAAGTATTCAGAAGCCACAACACGAGACAATCACAGTTAGTACATATCAAACCACTTAAAGATCCATTGGAGAAAATACACTCTTCATAATATCTCCTGTGAATGTAGATTTCAGTGTAATAGAGAAATAGAAAGGCCACCAAAAGTCCCAATTGAGGAGTATAATAGACACACAAGGTGCTCTAATACTGATATATATCTGCAATAGCCATCATACCAGTGAAGAAGACTACAGTTAAATGGATTATTACTAAAATAATGATATATGAAACCATACAAGAAAAAAGAAAGGGCAAAAGAAGCCTTCTAATTTTACATAACTGACAACTCACTTAGCCAACCTAGCATGGAATTCTCTAAAGCCTTGATAACCTTATTGAAACAATTAAAATATTTGGTTCTAATTGTGGAAGATTCTGTACTAGTGGTTAGCACACTAGCCTATCTAACAAGAAAACCAAGGATCAAATCTTGGCCCCTATGCACAAACAGTCCTTCATGTAACTTCCCTGAAGAAGACATCATATTATCAACTAAAATGTAGGACATAAACCAATTAATAAATTACTAATAAATATTTAGACTTAGGTCATCATATAGGCTGCTAACCACGATAATAAATGAAAATGTGTTAATGAATGTAAATTGTTGTACAAAATTTGTAAATAAAATGCATTGCATGATAGCCTAACATATATTACACTATGTGTAAAAAAAAAAATGCATCAAAAGTGAATAAGAATTCATCAAAAATAAAGTGTTGGATATTTTTGTAATGCCTCCAGTGTATTCATGACAAGGCTGCAAGCTTACTTGCTAAAGTTTGTATTTCAATACCAGTGGAGGGCAGAGCACAACTAGCCTATTAAGTAGCTTTGTGCTTAACAACAACCAAACCAAGTTTTGTAATATAAATTGAGAAAGAAGAAATTACAACTTGTAGATAAGAAAATATTTTAACTTGTATATGGTGAAAACTAAGTTATCATGTTACATTTCACACATGTGTGAAACCTTGTATGCTATGATAGCATTTTAAAATTTTGATGTGAAAGACTAGCTAAACTACAGTTGATTTGTTCTCTGCTACAATGAAAAATATTTTATGAACCTAATTTGCATATTGTAAACAATTAAAACTTTGTTTACATTTTAAAACACTATCTACTCCTTATATTAATCCCTTTTTTCATTTTTCTATTTCAGGTTGTTTTCTGGTTTTTGCCATTTTCTTTATTCGATCCATTTATTATTTTTCAATGAGGATAAGCACAGTTGAAGGTATGGCCTAAGTGAGATTAAAATATCAGGCTTGTAATGATGCTACTTAAGTGCCGTTTCACCATTGCTTGACAGTTATTTCCATAACTGTGATTTATCTTTGTAATAGTAGAACACATTAAGAATGGTGTTTAAAGAGACTTATTTTTCCAGATTGCATAGAATAAATAGTAGTATGAAAATCATTATATGTATATCTAAGATACTTGCATTTTCTTTGGATCTAATAATTTTGCATTTCTATAACATTTGTACAATCATACATGTTTGTGAAAGTTTTTTTTTCTTTGTAGACCTTCCAAACTGATAGTTTTTTAAAATAATTTTTAAATTTATTGATTTTTTTCTTATTCACTAATAGATTATTTTATTTTCCTAATCTGAATTGTGTTCTTAACCTTTTTGGATCGGATTTACCTTGATCCGTTGTTGGTTGCTTTTGAAATTAGGGTCATGGAAAAGTTATAATTGTGCTTAAGATGCATATAATACGGTTCCTGATGTATTCAAACTTTATTTTTGGCTGAATGTATGTATATAGATATTAGTCATTACACAACTGTATCAAATCAACTTTTCAAGTTTGCCACTCAATTTTGAAGACTTTCAAAATGTTATTCTCAGTTTTTGCATCTTTTTAATGACGAATAAATTATAAAACTATTCATGCTAACTATCATAAAAAATCAGCTACTATAAAATGACTTTGGGTACCAAATCAACAGGTATTAAAAAACTGTCATCATGTTATTTTTATTTGTACTAGGTTCATCAAACACTGACAAAAGATTTTTTTATTTTCTTTTATTGATTATTATATATTCTCCCTACAATATAAAAAATCTGACCTGTAATCAGAAAATGGTTTGAATGAACAGATCGTAGAAACAGTTCCCAATTGTGTTATACTTCTGCTTCTGTTATTTTTTCTTTTTTTTTCATTTGTAATTTTTTTTTTTTTTTTTTGAGTTTCTCATTTTCTGCCTGTATTTTTCGAAACATGGTGTTAATAATACATTTTTATATTGTGCTTAAATATAAGGTGGATTTATGAGGTTCTTGGTTTCAAAATAAGGTGTATTTGGTTATTAGTTACTACCATAAGTTTTGTATCTCACAACAAATATATTTTTGATCCTATTTTCAAATTAAGATTGAGATTAGTCTTACATCAGCCCTAGTCAAAATGCTTGGAGTGTTTTCTGAATATTTGTTTATAGAGAGATCTTGTGTTAGAGAAAATTGCTATCTAACTTGGTTTAGCATTACATAAGTAGACAAAAGCTTTTTCTATTCTGTGGTAGTGGTGACATTGACATTTAAAGACCTAGTTTAAAAACTTAGTAAATATATAGAAAAAGATCTCCCTGGATCTATTTCTTAAAAGTTAAATAAATGCATTGTAAACTTTTTGGTACTATAGATGTAATGTCTTTATGTAATATTGGGGGCTAAAATTAATGTTATCTATGAATTAAACTATTTTATTCTATTCTATTGAATTGTATGTACATTTTACTATAACATAAAAATTTACTGCTGAAACGTCACAGGTTTGGCATACATGTGATTCTGATGTAAAATTAACTTTGTAGATAGTTGATATAATTTATGGTTCAAATTGTGTTTCTTTCATATATAAGTAGTTAATGTAAAACTTACAATTTTTGATGTGCAAAAAACAAATAATTGAAGGTAACTAAATCTGAATTCATAAAATAAAGCACACATATAAAATAATTCTTCTAGTCATCAATTTTTAGTGCAATCTTAAAAGAAAATTGTTTTGAATATTTAGTTATTGAAAAAAGGTCATTTTAGGCTAAGTTCAGGTGTATAACATAGCCAAATGTTTTGCATCCTACTCTCTATTACCCATACTTCCTGTTGGATTTCCAGTTAAAAGAATAATATAGGTTGGAAAAGGTGAACATTTAATAAAACAAACTTTTGAGATTTGAGAGCTATAGCAATGAAACTGTAAACTGTTGGTTTCAGTTATCGTAAATACTCTCATTCTGCCAGTAAAAATAGATGCATTTGTTTATTTTAAAAAATGTTTTGCAATATGAAATGCTATAGCTTTTACTTTATTCAAAAGTAGCTTGATTTTTTTCTACAATTATGGAATATGAAAAATTGACAGGCAGCTCTGCTAGTTCATAAGTATGACAACATAAGATGATTAAAATATACAGTTATATCTCTATGAATGGGTATATGGATATGTATAGGTTTCATTGTGTTGTTGTTTTTACATTATATGTACACTTGGACTTGGATGAATATAGAGGTTTGGTAGTTTTTTACTATGCTTAAATCTTTGTAATTTTGCTAGAAGTAAAAAGTTAATAGTGAAACTTTACGTTCTAAAATTTAAAAAAACTTTAGTACACTGTAATATTACTTCTTTCTAATTATTGATGTAGTGTTTTGAGAAGAAATGTTACTGTTTATGTTTCTAAAAATCTAATGATATGAATGTTCATTGATTTGCTTTTAGCTTAAATATATCTGGCTTGAATTTCCATTGGTTTAAGTATGAAAAATGTGTTTTTGGGTAGCACAGATAGTAATAACCTATGTAAGCATAATCATTATAGAAACTCTAGTTTTAAAAAAGTAACTGAATTAACATGTGCTTTTCTACAGTGCAGAAATGGTTGTGTTGTGGTGTTTGCCACCAGCTTTATTGCCATTTAAGTTTTACTAAGTTATTAAAACAAATATATTAACAAATCTGCATCTGTATTTTGCATAATGTTTGTACTTACAATTATAATAAATTTTTTGGAGCTTATAATTATAAAAATATAAATATCTTCAAGGGGGGAAAAAGATAAATAATATCAAACTAAAATTTGTAAAATAATTTAGTTACATCAAGGAAGAAAATCTATAGATACACACACATTTATATGTAGTGTTAGTTTTAAAGAATTGTGAACTTTTCCATCATGCTTTTATGTATAGTAGATCCATTCAGCCAAAATCTGTTGCTTAAAAAAGGTTTGAATTGTATTCCTGGATTATACGTTTGAAGTAATTTTATACCCCAGAAATGCAGTGTGATCCAGCTTCAGGAATTGTAATTAGTTTTTATACATGAAGTTATTTATAAAAATAAGGTTTGTTATATGTGCAATAGTGTAATCTTGTATATATTGCAAACCGTGGTGACTGTCCAAGTGTTCATCTGTCTCCCATTTATGGCTGCCATTTCCCGCACTGTGTTTGAAAAGCTGTGCATGCAGGCAAGGCTCAATATTCAATTTTGAAATGATGGGAGAACAAGCATGAATAATGTTGATTGTTGAAGTCTAATTTTATTTTGCAAGCAGGATATTCTACACTAGACTGTTAGGAGTCAAATACACTATCATTCACATTTCAAAATGTGACATAACTTAAAGAATAAAAATGTAAATATATTATGTGTTATGGCTCTTATCATGACTGAAATGTTCAACAATTACTTTTCACAGTAGGCAGTATAAGTAACTGAGAGCTTTTTATCCAAATAAAACTGAGAGTGCAACACAATTGACCTTTATAAAAGTCCATGAAATAACTTAAATTGATAGATTAAATGTTTTCCATCACTGGGGATGGGTACTTTTGCTTGTTAAATATATTTCTCAAATTACAATATTTGAGGTCCAAGAATCACATTTTTAAATGTCTGTGTGAGACACTTAAGATGCTAGGTGACCTAGTGGTTCTCCAAAAAAATGTGAAACTTTTAATTCTAGGATCAAAATATAAAGGACAGACATTTTATTTTTTTCTTAAAAGTATTTAATAAATATTTATTCATCAGTTTACACTCGAGTATATCATTAACAGTGAAAAATACCTAACTAATGAAACAATGTCATAATCATTATAAGTAAAATACTTTAAACAGTATATTTAATTAGCTGTGCTCGTTTACTGGTGTATTTTTAATTCTGATCTAAGTAGGAAGCTTTCTTTGAACAGAAGTTAATATTAATTAAAGTAACAGTAAAGGACATATATCTGCCAATATGCCAAGTGCAAAAAAAAATTATCTTCAACCTATTAATATTTCCTAAGTTCATGGTATTCAAAAACATATAGGATTGACAGAAAATTGACTTTCCTTCTTTTGGGTAAATAAGGGGAAGAATGCTTAGATTATTAGGTTTCTTTCATAAGCTAACCTATGTGAAACCAAGAATATGGAAATAAAGGTAATTATCAAACTACAATTGTATAACAACTGAGACATAGTACAGTGAAATGAGAATATCACTGTGTTTAAGGCATGATTATTTTGAAACTGTTCTCTGTTTACATTTTATAATTAATTCTATTCATAACTTACGGTCTACTGGCTTACATTGGAAGAATGAAAAAGGTATCGTGTGCCTATGTACATCAAGAAATATGCACTTGTGTGCACGCACACACGTGTGTGTGTGTTTATATATATATATATATATGATATTTTGCTTGAACTAACAGTATACTATAGTGCTTGTTTGTTCGAACTGATTAACTGTTTTTAGCACCCCCCCCAGTAGCACAGCGGTATGTCTGCGGACTTACAACGCTAGAATCCGGGTTTCGATACCCATGGTGGGCAGAGCACAGATAGCCCATTGTGTAGCTTTGTGCTTAACTTAAAACACAACTGTTTTTAGACATTCCAGGTATATAAAAACAAAGTAATAACATATGGATTTATTGTTTCAATTTGGTTAAATTTTATAGCTTTGTATTGTGTTTGGAACTCTTTTCTGTTTCTCAGAAAGCATTTATTGTTTGAAAAGGAATGGTGTAAAATTTGTTTTGTTTTGTTTATTACATGTTATTAGTAATACCACAATATTACATTTAAGTATTAATAGTTAATAGTAGCCAAACAATATACAAAGAATATAATGAATATACATGTGAACTATTTATGTGAAAAGTTTTTGTTTTCCTATCCATTAGTCTAAACTTTCACATCTTTGTAATTTTGGTTACAAGTACAAAAGTTTATATCCTTCTTGAATTGAAATCCTTCTTATATTGAAAAGATAATTAAAAATTAATGCATGTATAAAACCATAATCAGTGAAAGTAGATTGAAAATGTGAAATGAAAAATGAAAACTTTTTCAAATGCATTTTAATATATTATTCTGAACAGTTAGCAGACATATCGTCGAAACATTGACGTGTAACCTCGTTCTCCACAAGTATACAGATATGCTTATTTGTCAGTTTTCCTTTTTTAAATCAAAAGTTTAGAAATTACATTTTTAGCAAAACAGAATTGTATATTTTATTCTATGTAGTGTAGAAACTGTAACTATGTTATATTGCTTTGTAAAACTGAAGGATAAGATAGATTTATAATATCAATTAACTCCTATTATAAGAATAGTAAGCTTCGATCCTGCAATACGGACTTACAACAGTAGAAACCGGGTTTCAATACCCATGGTGGGCAGAGCACAGATAGCCCATTGTGTAACTTTGTGCTTCAAACAAACAATCCTACAAAAAAAAGTTTCCCTTTGACATTATTGTACAATTTACTAAAATCTCATCAACATCTTTGTTACCAAGTTATCAGAAGACTTGAAGATGTTTTCAGAATTATTTTAATTGCAAAATGATGAATCTGATAAGTGATTGCTATTGATGTCATAAACTAAACAAAAGAATAAAAGAGAAAAAGTGCAGTTTAAGGCTAATAATGGTATTGCTCTGGTTTATTTAAAATTCTCCATCTTGGCTTGATACTGGAAAACCTATATTTGAAATATCATATGAACGACTACAGGTATAATTTTACAAAAAAAATCAAGATTGAAGTTCTTTCTTTTTTTAATCAAAATCAAATCATTATAATAAGTGAGATAATGTACATGTGAGATTAATTTCAACAACTTAATGTGCAGTTTTTAATCATACGTTTAAACTCATGAATGTTATTAGTAAGAAATGCATGTAAGTTTTAAATAAAGATAAATCCTAATAGTTTGGTCTTTTTATTCCATTGTCAACATGACAAGAAAATGAAAATTTAGCACACATGTTATACATTGTTTTGTGGGCGAGTCAATGCATTCTAAATTTTTGTTGCATATTTTCTAATTAATGACTTGTGTAAAATTATCTGCGTTCTTTGTATAGTTTTTGTTTTAGTTCTGATTAATTAAATGGTTTATTTTAATCAGATGATACTAGAATTTTAATGGTAAATTATGCATTGTAATCTCGAAATAGGATTATTTGAGGTTGTAACTGACTACAGGTTTTTGTAGATTTGTATGAAGCTGTTAAGACATGCCCAAGATTATTGTATGAGTTTCAAACTGTCACTTCCAAGTACTGTGTATTTTATGGCGGTTTATCAAGAACATCAACAGAAGTCACGAGTTGGATTAAATTTGGCTAATTCTGCGTACACCTATTTCTAACAGTGAAACTTCTGTAATTTTACTACACTTTATATTGTTTATAAAAGTTCTAAATGTGTAACACTCATTAGATGTAAAAAAATTATATGAAAGTTGACACTAGAGACATAAATAAATTGTCAAGAGCAGATCCTTGGGGTTCTCCTACCACCATTTTCCAACGTCATTAAAATCGTTAAATAGAAATATAGAGGTGGAAGTGGTAAAAAGGTTATTTTCTAGTATTATTTATGTTCGTATACCTATATATGTAGAAAAGGGTATCGATCATCGTAATGTGTAAAAGGTTGAAGTCAACCGTAAGAGATCTTTTTTTTAAATATATATATAACAGCGCTTAATATGAATAGATTCTGAGGGTCACTTCAATATCCTGACTAACGGTCAGCTCCAGACAAAAATGGGTTTGGCCTTTGTTTTTGTAAACCGATAGTTTTGCTTAATTGGCAAAAGAGTAAGTCGAATTACTGACGTTTAACATGTTCGCTAAATATTAATTTAAGCAGGCGTTATGAGTTAATGTGATTTATTAGTCATAAAAGATTGTGTGCTAATTAGTGAATTTTTCACCACAACAATTGTCAAGTGTATGGCCTTTGATCTTTGGTCAATCTAACAATCCCTTAAAAAATATTTTGGATCATTTTGATATACTATGACCTAACAGACGTCGAGATTTATAGGGTTGGCCAATCCTTCCTAAAACAAAATAATACACTTTTTAATTATTCATTGAACGTTGTGCGCTTTTGAGTTATAACAAATGGTAGTATGAAAACTATAATAATCTTTTACAGTAAGTTTGTTGAATACCTAGTAATATGAGTTCAGAATTTTAATCATAATGAAATATTTAAAACATTATGATTTCCTTTACGATTTCAAACGCATAGATAAATTAATAAAATATAATTATGTAACCTAAACTGAATCTTCACGTAAATTACAAATATGCCCTGAACAGAATTATTAACGAGTAGTATAGAGCCGGAAATAAACAAACATGACCTTCACCCAATTTCGACAAGCTCTTGTAACGTGCCGAGGGCACTGACCCATCAACAAAGCCAGGGGGCATTTTGCTAGGTCGTATAACAGGATTACATCAGCAACACCAGGGGTGAAATGGTAGGTGACACTAGATAGAGAGTTACTAACATTTATCTTTTTCATATTATAGTATTTGCTTTTATAATTAATTATCATGGAAACTCTCTGGGACACTATAGAGATACAGAAAACTAAATGTACATTCATGAAATTCCCAATATTTGATGATTGTGGTACATCAGGAAATTTTCTAAGTTACTACTTTCTGTTTTAAATTATAACTCGTATATTTGTTATTTAAATGTAACTCACCAATAGTTATATATATGCGTACTTCATATACTTTAACTCTGACAA